GATAATGCACATGGGCCATATAATATTGCACATGGGCCATACAATATTGCACATGGGCCATACAATATTGCACATGGGCCATACGATATTGCACATGGGCTATACGATAATGCACATGGGCCATACGATAATGCACATGGGCGATATGATAGATATTGCACATGGGCCGTATGATATTGCACATGGGCCATATGAGATTGCACATGGAACATGCGCTATTGAACAAGGACAATACGATATTGCAAATATTACACATGGGCCATACGATATTACAAATGGGCCATACGATATTGCACATGGACCATACGATACTGCACAGGGGCCAATTGTGGGCTTGGGGCACCTTTGCAAATACGTCGGCCAGGGCTCGATTTTTTTTTTTTTTTTTAACTAGCCAACTGGGCTAGTTTAATGTAGATTTTGCTAGCCCACAAGCTATTTTACTAGCCCTATCATTGGCTATACAATACTCCATGTGTACATACAATACTGTATGTTATTTTGCCGTTCGCATTGGGATTTTTAGTCGACCGCAGATAGGATAGGAGCTGGGCCTTGTATCAACTTGTAAAGGATAACAAAACACACAACACAATTTTCAATTGTATATGTCCATTCCTTTATTTTTGATTAATCATTGAAATATTAAACCTGTCGCATAGCTTTATTTAGGGCAAGGAGAAGGCCATGAACATTGTGCATAGCCTAGGCCTCTCTACACTACTAGCTACAGATAAAGATCACCTTCTTGTTTACCGTAATTTGAAGCAGAACCTGCAAAACGATGCAATATTAATGGAACTATAGAAATCACCTCCTTGCCAAATTAAGGCAAGTCATGCTGGACCACATTTCCTTTGTTTTTTACTCACTGTCATAAACAGCTTTCCAATGCTTGCCACGAGGTTATTTACCTTTAACACACTTTACCGTGTTCTGATTGGCGTGAACGTTGCCAAGGTTTATTTTCCATTGGGTTTTCCATGTGACATTCGGTAATTTTACAATCAACGGACATTAACTCTCCTTTATATTTATCATTTATCTTACTAAAACAAAACTACCGTACAAAATATTATTTGATGAATAATCTTTTCACATGTGTGTATTTTAACTGATTTTTTGACAGTTAAAAGAGGTAAAATAATTGTAAATAAATAGGCTAGGCCCTAGGCTAATTAATTGAAAAAAATACAGCAATACAAACAAGTTCCTGTCGTCGAAAGTGGAGACTCCCATCAAATCAAGTGTACGTTTTCTTATTGAAAAAAACAGCTCTGTAAGCTACAGCAGTCTTTCTGCACGTACAAATAAACAACACACTTTTTCTTCGTAGATTTGCTTCGTAGGCTTGCTACGATGTATCTACGAAGCCTGCGTGCAGGAAAAAGTGCAATAGTTTCGGGCGGTACTGTAGGCCTTGTTCACTAGCTGACCGGGCAAAAACAAAGGGAGGTTGACTAGCCTGGAGCAGTTTTTACTAGCCATTGTACGCCGTTAAGAAATGAGCCGTGTCGGCATTGCTAAATGCCAAAATATTTGCAGAGGTGCCCCAAGCTCACGACGGCACTAATTTGCCGAGGCCCTTTTGTTGTGCGATAAGCTAGAATGTAACATAAATAAAATCTTTCAAGTTTCATGATGTATGATTTCATACACTGCAGTTTCATACAAACTATATTGAGACAAGTGTTTTCAACGCGCCTTTCATATATTTACGCACCGCAAGCCTCGAACGAACTCACTCATGTCGCGATTGGGATCGTGCGAGCATAGCTTTATTTAGCGGAACTGCATTTTTTGGTACATAGTAGAATTGTGCTAAAAATAATACATGAGTATAATATCCCCCCCCCCCATTCATGTTCTGTTTGTCTAGTTATTATATCAGCTACTAAACAAAATTTTTGCAATGCATGAATTTATATAAAAATCAAATTTTGTATAAGAGACAGAAGTAAGGCCGGTCTACAGTAAAAATGTAAACAAACAACGCCCTAACTCCGTAAATGTTAATATCGCTAAACATGGTCGTAATTATCGTCGTTTTACAAAATTGTGCAATTTTTCTGGATGTTATCGTTAGTTGCCAATGAACAATCAGTGTCTGTTCTTGTATTCTGTGAAATATTGGCCTGACAGCTTCTTCCGATTTTTAAAAATTTTTGATTGAAAACAGCAAATATTTTGGGTTTACTAGGCATTCTTGACAACTCCACGGGCTCAGACGCGCAATTTTACGCGTTGTTTATACATGCGCTAGGCCTAGACTGAGGCCTAGATTTTATTGGGGTTTTGGATAGGCTTTGCTGCATTCATGTTGTTAAATGTTAAAATTATAATTGTATAATATATATATTATTCAGCTAATATGATAAATACAGGCTTGCATTGAATAACATTTTATATTTTGATGGCAATAATTAGGATGGCTCTAAAATATAGAAAATTTAAAATATAAATACATGTTAACAATGATCCAATATTCATCTGTAAAAATAGCCATTATCATTTACAATCATCATTCTTCTTACAACTCAGTTTACAAATAGACCCAAACATTATGTTCTACATGTTATATTTTTAATGAACAAAATAAACCTTTAAAAAATACAAGAATCCAAATTAAACCGAAAAGTCCACTGATTAATCTCAGATACAGATAGAATAATACATACGCAAAGTTTAGGGATTCAATACTTTGATATTAATTATGTCATCATCAAGAATCCAAATTAAAAGTATGCAATCAGGTTAATACTGACAGTTATCTTTGTACAAATTGCTATTGCACTTTATAAGTAGAAAATTCAATATATTCACACTATATTATAGTACTGCACAACAAAATATGTTATTGTGCTTTGCGTTAATATGTGCAGTAATTAGTGTGTAAATTTATTTTCACAAAAAGTGTATGGGGTTTTGAACAATCTGTTCTCAATAGTAAGTTGATTCAGAGAAAATATAAAGTCCCAGGTCTCTTAAAAAATACAAACAAGAATGCTAAACAAAACTGTAACAGCAGGGATGCAGGGACAAAATGACGAGTCCATCTGTTTCCATGTAGCTTGCATATCGATTAAAACCGGATAGATGTAAACATATCTCACCATAGTATCTGATTTTCATCCTGCGTCGTAACAATTAAAGAAGCTGAAAAGATAAATATAAATATATTTTAATTAGGCAATACATAACAATATAATTCATTCTAGGCAATGGAAAGTAACAAATTTTAAGTGTTAATTATATTGTGCGCTCACTTTTTCATTATTATTATTATTATTATTATTATTATTTCATAAGTTTGGGAATACAATACAGTAACATTCCAAAAAACGAAAAAATAAAAAAAATAAACACCATACATTGAAAAAAGGGGCAACATTTAAAAATGGACAACCAAGTTAATGCTTAGGAAGACTGGCGCTTGCTAATAGTAAAGGTCTCCCAATAACATAACCAAAACGAGTAGCAATGAAAATACAACATTTGATATGCTGTATTTAAGAACATGCTATGTGAATATAAAGCATTATTGTGATGATACATAATTAAAAAAAAAAAAAAAACATTGTACAGAAGTAGCATAATTTTTATTATTTAAAATACCTTAATATCTGTCTTAGTATCATTTTTTTCTGCTGCTCTCCATGAACACCATCCAGCTGCTCTTTCATTTATGTTCAAATTGATTATCTCCATGATGTATTTTGTCAGCTCGTTTGTATCTTGTTTAAAATTAAAAATAAAAAGTTATTATTGCCATTTTTTTTTTTCATTAAAAAATTATGACAGAACATCAACATTAATAATACCACCAAACTTCAGATACTAAAAAAGAAATTTCAAAGTATAATAATACTAATAAAATAAAATATTTTTAGACATTTTAAAATTACAAGATAAACGTTTTTATAAAACTTGGGGTCTGAATAATCCTAAAAATATGTCTATAGCGAATAGACTAGGCCTACTTTCACGTGAGAGCATACTGCGTATACTTAAAATTTAAATACCCTCCGGGCCAAACATTGTTTACTTTCACCTAAGCCCAGGCGGCAGCTTACCCTCCCGTAGCGTAGGCTATTCTTAGGGAGCCTAGACTTAGTTTTGCCTATGGAAGACTGCTAGAAATATTTGAATTATATTTTTAAAACATATTAGTTATCTTGTCTGTGTTATTTATTACGCCATAAACGTCTAAAAGGTAAACATGCTAGGCCTACCTAGGGTAAACACGTGTATTTTAAAGGCCAGACACGGTCATTTTTAAACTTTAATAAAATTTTTACTGGAACAGTTGTCAGAGAGATTTTTTAAAGGATAATGCTGAAGTCAAATAGTAATAACATGGAGCAAGTGGCAATGTTTCAAAAATTAGCAAAAATTATTTATAGCCATGTAAACTTTACATGCCAGATTTTCTTAAGTTTTGGGTGAAAAACATGGAATAAATTCAAATACTCACACGTAAAATCAGGAGCCATGACATCGTACCTATGTTATACTACGAAACTGTTTAGCATGTCTTCTTCGATAATATCATGAATATTCATTATTTTTTAAATTTTAATGCTGTTGGTTGGTCATTTAAAAACCCATATATGGAGAACTATGAAAATATCGCTTCCGCATTAGCGCCCCAACTACGAGAATATCTAAAATGTATAATAGTGGCCAACAGAGGGCTCACTACTTATTGTCTATATTGAAACCGCCGTGCACAGTATGATGTTATAATACACTGAAAACAATTGTAAAAACAAAAAGGAATTTCTACTCGCAAGTCAACAGACATGGGGAATCCCAAATTTGTTTACGTGAATGTAAGTTGAACCACGGAGGTTTGAAGTTTGTAAATAATGTTGCTGTTATTATTAATTGTAATTTAACTTGGTACAATAGTATTTAACAAAATCATTAAATTTATAGATTGAATAATTGTGAAATTTTTTCAAAAAAGGTAAACAATGCACTGGAATTAGGCCAATTTAATACAAATTTAATAATTTATTAAATGATTGAAATACATACTATTGTACCAAGTTAAAATTACATTTTCAATAAAATAGCAAGATTATAATTACACTTATTTACTAAATTCCCGGCTCCATGGTTCAATTTTGAGTCGTAACTTTTTACAAAAATACACGAACCAATTCAGGGATTACCAATGTGTGTTGATTTGTTGTCGATTTATCATGTGTTGTTCAATAATGGCTTTTCAAGCCAAAATTGTTTTTACAATTACTTGTTTAGTCAACCTTGTATTTTAACATGACTATAACACATTCATTACTCAAAACCACTTGAAATGCAAAACCTGCTGATACAGTGTCGAAGTGTGTCAAATTTGCTACCATCAACAATATTTATTGGACATTAGCCTTGTTTACACGGTCGTTTGCTAGCAAATAGGCAACACCGAGGATCTCCAGCCGCGCGTCTACATGATAAAAAAAAATTATCGGTTTTACCAGGAAGTCATATGATTAAAACTAACCTGAAACAATTGCTGCTTGTTTTGAAACCTTTTGTCAAAAAATGTACGCAATTGATAAAAAAATAATTTTTCAAATAATAATAATGGTATTCACACTGTTTACAACAGAGTATTCCAGCGATGCCTCACAGGTCAAACAACAGCTATCTATCTATGTTAACTGTGCAGATCATCGCGGTTACCGTTCCATTATGCTGAGTTACACAGCCACTTTAACGGCTATATCAACGGAAAAACGTGATCATCAGTGATCTGCTGTGTAAACAAGGCTACTAAGAGAATGTACTGTACAAGATAAGGATGAGTCAGGAGTTGTCATAGAGATCAAAAATTCTGTCACTGATGCCTTTCAAAAATAACACACAGGCAACTAAACCAATCTTAAAAAAAAAAAACGTTTATGTAGCACAATGTAGACCATTATAAAAATAAAGAAATAAAAAGGACAACTTACAATTTGCTGGGATTGAAGCTCCATTGAATTTCCATTCGTAGGTGGATGATGGATTCGACGTTATTTCACAAACAATCCTTGCATCAGTGTATATCTCAAATGATTGCTCAGTGGGAGCATTTGTAAATTCCACCTTTTCTGTAAAAAGTAAAATTAATATCAGTAATATCATTGTTGGATTCCATATACCATTCTGTGGCATAAGGAGTCGTAACATTCCAATGGGTAAATCTTACCGTTATTCACACTTGGATTAACTGAGCCAAGTCATGAAATCAACTAATGTGGGTACTAAATTGTACGCATGTGTGGTTGCCCAACATATGTTACCTAAGAGGTAAGTTTCCTGGGTGGTTCACACTAGACTTATTATAGGTACACTAACTGGCATGTTGGTTACTTTTACCGAAATAATTCCCATGCGGCTTTAGTTTATGTGAAGTCGAAATATTGAAATTATCATGAAAAGAACATGCCTACAAGGTTAGTACTTACTATTCAGTAATTGCTGTAAAGCCAGCGCTACATAGATTTTAGGAGGTTGACACCTAAATTTATAACTTCAGAAATTGAGAATAAACTAGCCATTGAGTTAAATTTAAAATGTTAGAATACAAAACCGATTATTTTATACTAACTGTATGCTGTGATAGAAATCGACTTGGTGCTTCCAAGTGAATTACAGGTGTAAGTTCCCACATGAGATTCCTGAAAGGGGTTGATTTCTAACTTTGTGTTTGTACCACTGATGTACGTTACACTAACGCCGCCAACTCCACCTGCAACAAAAAGAACACATTTCTCATTAGACTTTAAAAAATGTTATCTACCGTATAGTATATGACCAATGATTAAAAAAGAAAGCAAGCAAAAAAAAAAGTATTACAAATAGATAACATTCACTTTTTTTATTACGAATATATTAGAATAATTTATTGTCCAACATAACATAAAATGAAATGCATTTGAAAACTGGCAAACATTTAAAATTCACTAAACACAGTATACAATATTAAAATCTATAGTATAATTATCATAAGCAAAAAAAATTTAAATACACTAAAAGTAACTTTAAGTACAGTAAAACGTCAATTTTATGAATAGTCGATTTTACGAATTGTCTTTGCCCCTAATGACGTCATCATCAACCGATTATTACCATAAAAAAAGTATAATTTTCTTAATAAAATCAAGTTTGTTGATTTAAATAGTTCTATCTTTTCTTCCATTTCTGGTATAATAATCACATAACGAACTACACAAGAAAGTATAATACATACTCCAAGTATTGAAATACACGCCATCGTGTTGGGATTCAATATTTCGACATTAATTATGTCGCATACAAGTGTCATCGGATTGAGCGCACATGTTTACGATGACGAAACAAGAGTGTTAACAGGCCTCTCAGAATTCTGGAATTTTTGGTTGCCCGTCGGGCAAGCCAGGTCTGAAATTTGGTTGCCCTCACAATTTTCTACTTGCCCCCTATGTTTTTTCGCAATTGACACAATGCTATTATAAAGGTACCGGCCTCACATGATGCATAGCCTATTAAAGAATAATACAATCAACCGAGTTTAATGATTAGCGAATAAAAACTTTAAAAAAAAAACTTCTTTGGAAAAAATAAAACCCGCTCCTAATTTTCAGGATTTTAGGGGCGGCGGATGACGGCAAACAAACAAGGTTTTTTTTTAGGCCTTATCTCCAAAACAGGATTTGCGACGAGTGACTGGTTTGGCTGGTTTTTGCCACATGTTCACACATGTACCAAAAACAATAGGCTCCGTCTTCATATTACCTTCTTGCATTCTGCCAAGTTTGAAATCATTCGGACTTACAAAATTTTAGTTATTATGGTAACAATCAATTTACCCAAACAACAATGACAACGATGATGACAGCGACGACGACAGCATGAAGAAAAACATGGCTAATAAGCTGTGACTTACCAGTACTTATTACATCTAATAAGCTGCGACTTACCAGTACTTATTACATTAGTTTGTGGATCCCTCCATGTTGGCTGGTTATTGGAACCAACCTCTTGACAAAACACAGTGACTATATCTCCAACAGATTTTGCTAGGCTGGGCCCTGCTGGTTGGAGTGTGACTTGACCGGCTGAAACAACAGAACAGAAAGCAGATTTAATAACTTTGTCATATCACTAAAGCCGGGTACTCACGGTGCGCGACGTCGAATGCACGCGACGATGCGGAACCAACATATCGCTGTTTAATGAAGTTCCGTTCAGACTACCAATGACAATCATCAGACAGCGTTACGTCTATCACTGGCCGGAAGCTGAGGTGGATTCGTTGTGCAACGGTCGTACAATGTAGTGAGTGACTGGCTTAATTCCTTTAACAATTATAATAATTACGATAACTACAATTTTGAAAAAGTTTTACTGCTGTTTTATACATTGAAAATGTGTAAGCATTACGTCATTAGGTTTCAGTTATAATTTCAACAACATTCAATTATTCAAATTTGTTTTCTTATTATTACTGTTTTTCTTTGCATTTATATTTATAATATCATTTCAAACATTGATATCTTTTACTCAGTTTGAACTGGCACAAAAGGATTTCATATCTAAAAGTAAACCTATATATTCACAATGCTTTTAATCCTTTGTGGAAGATAATTGTCTATTGGTTTCCACTTCAGAACTACTAATAACATAAACCACTATTTCTAGGTTGCATAGCAAGAATTATTATCATGGTAAAAAATTCAATTAAAAAATATCTTTTCATATTTCTGTTCTCTAAATAACTAATATACAAAATTCAAATTAATAAAAGAAAATATGATCATTCTTTGCATTGAATTTAATGAGATGTGATAATGATATGAGATGTGATAATATGACAAATATTAAAATTTGTCATATCATATGACAAATATTAAAATTTGTCATATCATATGACAAATATTAAAATTTGTCATATCATTATCACATCTCATTGAATTTATTGAGATGTGATAATGATATGACAAATTTTAATATTATTCTTTAGTAAGCCAACAAGTATTGATCGGTGATATTCATTAATCTGCATCAGGCACTGTCTATACACGTGGAGTTGTGAGAGGGAACCTTTGCATTTCTCTAATCAACCACATAAAGGCTCAATCCTACCATCCTCAATGTAATACTGATAATAGGTAACAGCAGTTGAATATATTGTAGGTCAAGGTTGTAAGGCATACAAGTACATCTAATGTAGAGCAAAAACAACTAATTGATATTTTTTTACCTTCTGATGATGTAATAATGAATGACAATATATTACCATATCAAATGCAATGGAAAAGAAATTACAGGCTGTGGAGATGTGGTTCTATCGCAGAATGTTACAAATCTCCTAGACAACTCGCATAACAAATACAGAAGTACTTAAAAAAGCAGGAACTACACTTAGTTTTAATGGCAAAACTAGAATTTCTCTGCCGTCTTATAAGAAAAGAAACTTTTGAATATAACAAACTAACAGCGTACATCGCTGGAAAGAACGGCAGTTGACGTAGGCTAAATTTCATGAAGAGTTGGGAGATTTTTGCAGCAGCCAGAGAACACGAGAATTGTGGAAACTTATGATTGCCAACATCCTACGACACGGTACATGATGATGATATCTACCGTAAAACCTTGAATTGGAGCCCAATCCTGAATTTAAGCCCCCCTCTTTAGTTGGCAAAATTGGCCTCGGAAATAAATGCATCTACTGTAGCATAGGCTTCTGTCCGAAATAGCACAATACACTGCACATGAATTTCAAAAAACAAAATTAATTTAAAACAAGTTTGGTTTATAGAGTTGTTTAGGTAATTTAATGCCGGTTAATGCACTCCATGATACAGATTAATGTTACAGTAGCCTTAATTATTGTTTTATAGCACAAATTCCCAAAATTTACAGCATTCATTTTGAAAAGAAGCCCCCACCTCTTTATACCTTGCAAAAGTAGCCTCGAAAAGCTCCTCATATAAAGATCACAAAAAAAAAAAAAGCATAACACAAATTCCCAAAATTGACAGCATTCATTTTGAAAAGAAGCTTCCCCCCTCCCCCTTTATACTTGCAAAAGTAGCCTCGAAAGGAAGCTCATATAAAGATCACAAAAAAAGCCGCCCAGGGCTTCAATTTAAGTTTTTACGGTATGTTGATCCGAAAAGTAACCATTAATATTTGAATAGTTGTTTTTTATGAAACCTGTTTGCTCTCAATTAGACTTCAACGGGAAAATGAACATTTCCCATCATTAAACACAGAAGACCATTCTTATATTTGTAGACCTGTAAATCAGCTACTTACAATTTCAAAATGTCTGTAATTAATAATAAAAAAATATAGAATTGGTTTGATCTGTTTCTCAATGGAAATTGATAACTTATTAATCCTTAAAATGACAAATCTTAAATTTAAATAATACATTTTAAATATAGGTTAAAAAGCATGCTAAGTCATATTTTAAGAATAATTTTTGTATTGATCATGGAATCTGTGATAGTATTAAGTATTTATTATTTATTAATGATTTAGATAGTATTTATAGATTATCATTGCCTTTTTAAACCTTTTGCCTTGTGTTGTACTGTATTTTAATCATGTCGTACAAACTTGATTCAAAATAAATTTGCACTTTCTTTAAATTACTTCCATGGGCTGTTAGTAGGTAACTAACATATTCTATTATTATAGAATATAATGTTCAATAATAAAGACAATCAAAAATACAACATAGAAGATACAGGAAAAATGTAGTACCCCCTCTATAGTCTAAACTTATTTTTTAATTGTTTGGATACAAATAATGTACTTAATTTCATCCTCCGATTCGAGACCACTCAAAATTTGGTGTTCGGTCTTCACTTAGATGGTTAGCTTTGTGTTTGTTTGTGTTCTTAGAATTAGAGGGCGCATAATAATTCAGGATACTTCACAAGTCATGAATAAACAGCATAGATAGGTAATCCCCCTGGATGACCGATTTATGACTACTATTTCTTTATACACCTTTTTGGAAAGGGATATGCAAAAAGTCGATCCTTGTTTTCTTGGTACAGGAATTACCTTATTTCAATCAACGTACAGTAGCGTTAATACAGTCAATAAGAAACACCCTTTACTCTGTGCCATTTAACTTGCACAAGTTCAAGCATCTAAAACAACCTACTTCTTGATTTATAAATCATTAATTATTATTATACAACACACCTCCAAACTGACAAGAAAACCGTAATAACCCATCTCGGTTTGTTTTCCTGAACAATTTCTGCTGGCGATAAAAACAGACATGTTTGCAAAGACTGATAGGATACTTAGAAGATGATTTATGTGATGTATGGCCCAACCCTATAGCTAATCACTACATGTCTTTCCTCAACTTCTTCTCCTGGATTAGAGTCAGCAAAGGGGAATGGAATTCCTCCAATGCACTGGCTGAATTGTCGCATGCGTCATTAAGTTGGAACACTGAATAAAAACGTCCAGTGAGCACTCCCCAGAACATGGATGGACTAGGGCAATAAATTATCAGCCAAGAAATCTCACATTTATGAAATTGTTATATGTCTGCCTGTACAGCTGCACACAAGGTCAGACTAAGGATAATTTCTTTCTCGTTACCACAAAAATGTTGCACAACCACCAATATAGGGCTATCTGTATAGCGAGTCCAATGGCTGAGTGGTCAAGTCATAATATCGGGGTTGGTCAAGCAACATGCTCGCCTATGGTTCTGGAGGTGGAACAAGTCTTCTCGGATAAGGTCTACTGTATAAACACTTCGATTTGCAATTGGCTCATGTGTAACAATCGTCATATATTATTTATAAATAATAATGTTAGACTTCCATTGCGCAAAATGCCGGAGCTTTGACACAAGACACTAAATTTGGATAAAATCGAAAAGAATCTTCTACTTGTCCTACTCATCTTTGGGAAGCTTTTAAAAAACACATGTGTGTATAATGATCCAATAGCTTAACAACCCATGCTTAAGTGCACACATACTTCAGTTTTAAGTTGTTGAAACTGCAATGCATATGTGTATGTCATATTTTGTTATTTTAGCTTACTTAGTGGCAACACCAGACTGGCGATGCTGAATGATATGATGTATGGGCGCAGACAGTATCAATCGTATAGCAGTTGCATACGGCCAACTGCATTAACAGATCAAGCCAACAGCCTCAATTTGAACAGCTTCCGTAGCACATACATCATGACTTGAAGAGGAATTAGACCGGATTAAAAACTGATCCCTTCAACACGAACGAGGTTTTCCATTAGACAATCATTTCAAGGTTATCTTCTCATTCAATCAATAAATAAAGATTATAAAGACATGAATTATTAAGATATGAATAGATATAATATGGTAATTTATATATTATGTATCCATAACATATATTTTAATACACTGACATTCACTAATAATTTATGTAACACAAAACTATAAAAATACATTACAAAACTAATTCAAAAATAAATTTAGGGTACAAGGATCCAAATTACGTACTCATATGAACTACCTAACAAAATTGATAAGTTTTAAAATGTTAATTTATTCAATGAACAATTGCATTATGCGATTTTTATTTTAATTTAATGTAAATCAGAATTCATACTCAACAGTGTAAAACCAGCCACTGAATCCATACAATAAGCTCTAAGCTTTTTGAATAATTATGTATGATGTATAATGAAACAAGGTTTTCATGAATTGGATGCAGTAAAAAAAAAAAAAAATTATTCATGTCTTGAGATCACTATAAATATTGAGAACACCATTTAAAATGACTTGCATCAAGAGTTGCATTGTATTATATCAACAGCAGATCCCATACCTAGTATAACCTGCAGATAGAAGTTGATACATGCCATAAAAAAATTCTCTTATAACTAGAAATTGCAAATTGCAAGTAAGTGCTGCGAAGTACAACTGCATATAAATGTTCTTCGAACAAAATTATTTATGCGAGTCAAGTGAAAATAATGAATAATAAAAATATAACAAATAATACAGTTATGAGACACGACCCATTGTCTATATTAGAACAGCGTTGGTACCGTGTATGCCAGTCTACAACAAGCGTCGCCTAAATATAATAATTAGCACGCTGAAATAGGCTAGTAAATA